TTCCTTACTTTCTTACCCCTCCCTCACCTCAGGGCCCAACACAACACCTGGAACATAGAGTACATGTTCAACAACTGCTTGATGAATTAATGACGTAAGCATGTAGTAATGAGGTAACTGGAGCAGCTCAGACTCTCCAATGTTTCAATTCCCACCCCAGAAAAAAAAAAGCCCACAAACTTCCTGTCACTGTCTTCTTCCTTGTGGAAAGTTCTTCTTGTGGTCTAACCGAGAGCTACCCGGCTCTGACTTAATCCAGTTCCTTTCTCCAAAACCTCCTCCCTGACGCACTCACTTCTTCTTGTAGCCCTCCATCACCTCCTGCACGTGGTTGAGCTCTGAGGCCAGCCTCCCGCTGTCGGCCTCCACACACTCGGCCTCGCGCCTCAGCGTCTCGATGTAGCCCTCAAACAGCGGCTCCAGGTTGCTCTCGCAGCACTTGCGGTTCTGGTAGTACTGCCACTTGGTCTCCAGCAGCTTGTTCTGCTGCTCCAGGAAGCGCACCTGCCATTTGGGGTGGGAGGAAAGTCAGCGGGAGGAGCCGATATCCCCAGCCCTCCTCAGAGAGCAGGCAGAGTCAGACAGAGCTGGCAGAGGCAAGAGGTGGCCGCCATGGACCCTGCTGGGCTCTCCTGGGCGAGGATGCACCAAAGTCCTTGTTTCATGATTGCTTGTTCAGGCCTGAGCGAGGGTCTGTCTAGGTGGCCCTAGATGGGATGAGTGAGAAGCTGAGGGCATATGTGCTATGCTGGATTGCAGTTAGTCTGGGGGGACAGGGAGGGGTGGAGGGTAGTGACAGGTAGGGAAGGCTTCCTGGAGGAAAGGATGTAGAGCAGGGGTTGGAGGGATACAGGAGGACGAAAGCCTTTCACTCCAAGCTCCTCCAGGGCAGGGCCTATGGCTCCTTTAGCTATGTCCTCAGTGGCAGCCTGGGGCTGGGTGAGCAGTTGTTTGAATGGACGGTCAAGGTGGGGAGGCCTTCCTAGCTGGGGAGGTCAGAAGGGCAGACTCTCACCTGGGGAGCTGGAGAGAGGCTGGGCTGGAGTCCTGCTCTGCCACCCACTCTCGGTGGGTCCTTGGGCAGGCAGGCCCCTTGCCCTATATCCCTGTCTCCTTTGTATTCTGTTTGCACTCAAAGGGCTGGACTGGGAGTGGCAGCAATTCTCAAATATGAGCCCTTTGCAGGCTGACTTCAAAATGTTGCCATCCCCTTGTGTGATTTCATTCATGATGTATCTATAAATGAATTTTCTTAACATTTATTCTTAAATGAGATTAAAGGAGTAACTTTATATTACCACCATAGTTGTAAAACCATTATCACTATGCATTCAGAAAAGGAAACCATAAAACATAAATTGTAGCTGAAACTGTTGCCCCAGACAGTTCTGAACCTCGAGGCCTGCTCTCTTTATCAAAGTGGGAGAGTAGCAAGTATTGGAGGGAGGCTAAAGACACACTAGTATTAGCACCCAATGAAGATTTTCTCCATTTAACCCAAAGGACTGAAAAACTCGTGAAAGGAGATGAATTTTCTCATCAGGTGTTATTTAATGCTTTACTGTATTAACTAAAAGTATCACATAAAATATCAGCACTCCTGCCCTGGTTGGGTGGCTCAGTTGGTTGGAGCGTCATCCAGTACACCATAAAGGTTCTGGGTTTGATTCCCATCAGGGCACATACCTAGGTTTCAGGTTCCATCCCCATCCGGGCATGTACAGGAGGCAACTGATCAATGTTGCTCCTCCACATCTCTCTCTCCTTTCTCTAATCAACAACAACTCTCTCTCTCTCTCTCTCTCTCTCTCTCATTGGATAGATATATCACCCATTTCTAAAGAGGCAGCTTGGGAATCCCCGGTCCTCCCAGGAGTTCCAGGATCAGGAAGGGTGTGCTCAAGAACACCCAAACCTTCTCTGTGGGCACCTGCCTGCCTGGACAGAGGTTGTCTGCAATAACATTGCTATCAAATCAGGAGCCCCTGCCCAATACACAGCTCTCTGTCAATGTGGTCCATCTCCATCAGATGTGGTCCATCTCCTCCGTCAGACTGGGAGCTCACCTGGACCACATCCCTCCTGCCCCTGACTCCTCTCCAGTGCCCAGCCCAGCAACAGAGGGTTCAGGGAAGGGCGGGTCAGGGACAACCTTGTCGATGAAGGCAGCGAACCTGCTGTTGAGACACTTGATCTGCTCCTTCTCCTCATGCTTCACGCACTGCGCATTGGGGTCGATCTCCAGGTTGAGGGGCGTGAGGAGGCTCTCATTGACGGACACGGTGGTGATGCAGGGCGGGCTGGGCCCGCACACGCCGCCTGAGCGGTATCCGAAGCTGCGTCCACAGGAGCCAGAGCGGAAGGCTCCGCAGACGCTCTGGCTGCCAAAGCCCCCTGTGAGGCCGCGGTAGCAGGAGACCCCGCGGTAGGGGGCGGCGGTGATGCAGCAGCGTCCGGGCCGGGGCCCGCAGGCGGAGGCGCAGCTAAAGGCGCGGACCCCGCAGGGGCCGCCAAGGCGGGTGGAGAAGCAGGACATGGTGCGGCGGCGGCAGTGAAGGGCACTGAACCCCGAAGTCGGCGTGGAGTCTTATATCGCTGCCCGCTGGCCAGGGGAGGGAGCGCGCAGCCAGCGCATTTATGAGCTTGGAGGTCGGCCCTGGTGCCCAGTCCCGCTGGGAATCAAAGCGGGCCGGCCGCCTGGCTGCCTCCATAAAACAGCGTTCGCCCCCTCGCCTGGCTTTATGGGGCCCAGAAGTGCCCGGTCAGCTCCGCCCGCCCTGTGCTCAGGGCGGGCCCGACACCCCTCTGCCAGACTCGGCCTGGGTAGCGCTGGATCTTTGGCTCCATCCCCAGGCTGGGCAGCTGGGCGCACCTGGCCCCTCTTTGAGTCCCAGCCCTGCGAAACCACCCTTCAGGCTGGGAAGCCTTGGTCTTAGTTTTTTGTGCATTTCCATATGGTGTGTGGGGGCGTGTGTGTGTGTGTGTGTGTGTGTGTGTGTTGAAGGGACGGGGTCTCTGAGGAACATTATCTTGTCATGACCTGGAAGGTGAATAACCTTTCTGAACCTAGTTTCCTCATGTGCAAAATAGGGGTAGTAATGGTGCCCCACTGAGAGTTGTTGGGAGGAACTTA